CTTTACATGGATGACCACCTTTCTCATATATTTGGTAGTATAGGAGTTTATAATGTTTGGTCTTGTATTATGGGTCTTAGTATAATACTTTTTGGGTTTTAAGCTTATTGGGCCTAGTTTTGGGCTTTGTGGGCCTTTGGGCTTTTGTTTACTTCTGAGCTTAGTGAGCCCAATGGGTAACTAGCAGTGTTATGTGGTTCTAATTTTAGAAGAGACTCAGCTGCCCACTTGCCAATTTCCATGTTTCTATAGAATCTACATGAACTTAATAAGGATGCCCAACCAATTGAATCAGGACTGAAAGGCATCTTATTAATAAAATTCCTCGCATCTTCTAACCTCCCAGCACGACTGAAGAGGTCAATCATACATGTGTAATGATCATGAATTGGTATAATCCTATGTTCCTTAATCATGGATTCAAATATCTGATTTCCTTTCTCTACCAGTCCTGCTCTACTGCAAGCTGAAAGAACTCCAATAAAAGTAACCTTGTCAGGTTTGAAACCATGGGCTAACATGCTTTCAAATAACCTTATTGTTTCATTAGCATTGCCAAATTGAGCATATCCAGAAACAAGTGCAGTCCAAGAAACTTCATCCACAAAGCTCATTTCACTAAAAAGTCTATGGGAGTCTTCAATGCTTCCACATTTACCATATAACGTAACTAGAGCATTTGAAACAGTAATGAAAGAAATTAGGCCAGAAACCAGAGCTCTACCATGAAACTGAGCACCCTCTTCTAGGCTAGCAAGGTTTGCACATGAACTAATTACACTCCCTAGGGTGAAATCATCCGGCCTAATCCCATATTTCTGCATATCGCAAAAGATTTTAACAGCTTCTTCACTATAACCATTCTGTCCATAACCCACTAACATTGCAGTCCAAGATACAACATTCTTGTTCTCCACTCCAGATCATCTCTTCCTCCGCAGTGCCTCTTCCACGGCTCTCCTCCTCCGCGCGACTCATCTGCGCACGCCTCACCTCCTTCGAGCGACTCCTCCGCGTGCCTCACCTCCTTCGCGCGACACCTCCGCGCGACTCCACCGCGAGCGCATCACCTGGTCCGCGCGACTCCTTCGCGTGCGACACCTCCGCGCGAAACCTCTGTGCGCGCCTCCTCTGCTCTCTGCGCCTCCTTCTCCTCCGCGTCTCCACCTCTGCTCTTCTTCTTCTAATGGCCCTTTTTTGCCTCTTCTTCTCTTTCCTCCCTTGGTGGGTTTTAACTTGTAGTTCTGGTGCATAAAGTTACTTGCGCAGACATTGTTTTCTCACTATTCTCTATTTCAATTTGTTTCATCTCAACTCAACAAGACACTAAATTAATACTTTTAAATTTTTTGTTGAAAGATTTAGTTTTTATTTATTAGATTTGGGTCTGAGCATGATACATGTAACCAAAAAGTGTTGAAAATATACCTAAATATCTTTAGTTCAATAAGGAAGAAATAAATTAGTTTTGTTAGGAATCTATTATTTTTGTCATTTGTGTGAACTTTTGATCTTAAATTTGTGTTAAGAACATTTATTATTAATGTAATTTGCTATTTAGGAGTTAAAATGTTCAATTATTATGTTATTTTTATTTATTTATTTATTTATTTATTATTGAGTAATCTCTTACGAGTTTACGATACGAGTTTACGGAGTCTCCACGAGATTATGTAAACTCTCGAGATTGACAACCTTGAGTAAAACAGATTTTAATGGTAGTGATGGGAGAGGTGATATTTGACCAATACTAGTGCCTTGGACTTTTGACCCATCTGCAAGAGTGATATGGTGTGGAGTTCTAGGTGATGATAGGTTAGGGAAAAGGGAGACATTACCAGTTAGGTGATCAGAAGCACCGGAGTCCAAAACCCAAGGTCCAATAGACGTAGAATGAGAGAGACAGATTGTAGAATTACCAGTATGAGCAACAATGATGGAAGAAGAGGCCTGTTTAGTTGCCTTGAATTGAAGATACTCTTGTTAATCATCGGTAGATAATGTGATTGGATGATTGCCCTCCGGTTCAATCTTGAGCTCTGGAGCTGAAGTTGGAGATTGAGCCACATTAGCTATCTTGCTCGGAAAGCCATGCAAGGAATAACACCTGTCTCGTGTATGTCCATCTCTCTGACAGTAGGTACAATGGAGGTTTCCTCTACCCCCTTTACCACGACCACGACCTCGACCACGCCCTCGACTTCCACGGTCAGATGTGCTAGAGATAAAGGCAGAGGACTCAGATTCTGTGTGAGGATCTTCCTCTGGTGAAGGGACCCGAATCAATCGATCTATGAGTTCTTCTACTGTAGGAATGACAGGATTTGTCAAGATTTGATCTCGAACAGATCCGTAATCTTTGTGGAGTCCTTGAAGGATAAACACCATAAACATATTATCAAGTTTGTTTAATATTTGTTGAGGATCATCACTAACCAACATTAGCTTGAGCTCATCAATAGTGGATTGAGCACGATTCAAATACGTCGGCAAGTCATTATCAACCATACGAAGAGTTGCCAGACCATGAACAAACTCGTATATTCTTTGGATATCATTGGCATAGACATTTCGAGCCTTCTTCCAAATATCATAGCATGTCTTGTACGGACGAAAATGCACCATTAATTTAGGCTCAATGGACTGCCACATATAGATACAAGTTGATAATCTGTCCGTTGCCATTCATCTCTCACCTCTTTATCAACTTCGGACGCCCTTTTAGTAAGATGATCATAGAGACCCTGACCTAAAAACCACATTTCAACCGCAGTGGACCAATCCAAATAATTTTTACCATTAAGCTTTTCAGATGTAATAGTAGGTGATCCAGAAAAGGCAAAGGAGACCAGCCCCCTTTTGGAAGATTCAATTTTTGGGTTCTCCTTGGGAATCTCTGCCATGAGGAGAAAAAGAAGAAAAACACCAAACAATCAACCACGAATAGAAACCAAACAGCCACAGAACACCGAGACAGCAACCAAACAACACCAAATGACCACGAAACTCCGAGGCCGCAACCAAACGACCTCCAACAGACCACCTAGAGTGTGACCCACAACCTGAAAAGGGTCAAAACGAGAAGAGGGAGGGCCGACGAGTCCAACAGAGTAAACCGCGTCGCAAACGAAGGCTGGTAGGGCGGCGCGTGAAGCCCACGCGCCGGCGAGCTTCCTCAACGAGAACCGCGCGTGGGAGCGCGTGAGGCGGCGGATGACGGCGGCTCGTGACGGAGAGGCCGATTGGCGACCTCTGAGTGTGCAGGCGGTGTCAACTCTGGCAACCGCAGGCAAAATTCGAAAACCCTAGAAACCCTAAATGTTGGCGGCTGGATTAGGGTTCCTGGACCAGAGTGCTCTGTTACCAACTTGAATATGAATAATTTCTTATTATTGAATCTGAATAGGTACAATAAAATAAATAGGCATAAAACATAATCAATCCCTAAAGTTTAGGGATTTAGATAAAACTAACTAAAGAGAAGATAAACTAGTATATCTAAACTATATCTTATAGAATTATCTTAACAGTATCAATGTTAGGTTAGAAAATTAATTTACTTGTCTCACACAAGGCCAGATATTGCACTTGCTGTAAGTTTGGTCAGCCAATTTGTGCATTATTCGAGAGAAGTTCACTTACATGCCACATACAGAATTTTGCAGTACCTTAGAGTGACACCAGGGAGAGGAATTTATATAAAAGAAATGGGAGTTAAACCTTTCACTCTAAACCCTCTATAACTAAAATCCCATCATTTTCAGCATTTTTATTTCTATAACAGTTATAAAGCTAAAATTTTTCTAAAAAACATGGATAAATGGATAGGGACAGATGTCAAAGGTGCACATAGTGAGCGACAAAAGTGTAAAATATGGGGGAATCTTGTGCACTTCATTAAAATATTTGTTCGAGTTAAACAGGTAATTTGATGTATAATCTATAGTGGAAGGCAACATGAGGGATATAATCATAATTATTTATATATTTTGAATTTAGAAAATCTGATTCAAATCATGACAACGTGACTGATGGGACTCAGAAGATTGAACATACTGTAAGAGGTTCTCCAAAGTCATCTACTTTGGTGAAGCTTCCTATTTGGTCCATATTTGAAGGACTCTGGCTTATATTGTCATCAACCTACATGCTGCACTTATCATTGTTCATCTGGCTGAGTGCAGTTGTCTCTTCATTCTTCTATTTTCAGGTCAGGTAATCTTCTATCCTGTGATACAATCTTTAGTTTTAAGTATCAGAATTTCTAATTTACCTGAATGATTAGAACATGTGGGGAATTGTGTAGATATATAAAACTCTATTGCTTACTGAAAAACTACTTCTGTATTTGCTTTCATCAAATTCTTTCAAAGATTTATTAATTAATACCTCCCCTGATTTTCATTTATACTTCATCTTGATGTGAACAACTCATTCAATTCTACTTATAATTTGTTTATGCAGAGAAACACTGTTAGTATGTAATGAATTATAAATATTAAATAATGATTATGATTATTTTATTTATTGTCTCATTAATTAGTTGTTAACTTTTTCTCTATCTGAGTATTTCTGTTTCAAATATACAGAGGGGTTGCAGACCTATGTTGCACTTGTGTTTATGATTCTTTTTTTTTTTTTTTTGTTTTCCTCGCGTCCTTCTTTCCTTATACTCCTAGTTTTTCTTGTCATCCAGCCAACTATATATAGCTGTCTCTCTTTGTATCCAGCCAACTATATCCTAACAGAACAAATGAAATGCAAATTACATTGAAATAAAACTTAGCTGTATCTCTAATATTCCCCCCTCAAACATAGGGTGGTTGGTTCAGAGAAAATTTATCAGCTACTCTAAGATTGTCTCTTAAGGTTAGAAATCTTTGAGAAGCAAGAGGCTTGGTAAGAATGTCTTCTGTTTGATCCATTACTGGAATGCTGGACAATGAATGAGACTCTTGTTTAAAACTTTCTCCCTGAGGAGGAATATATCAAGCTCATATGTGCTTTGTTTTAGCATGAAGATTAGGATTGTGTCACAGTGAAACAGTGCTTAATTTGTCACATAATAGGACAGGAGTGGTGTCAGGAATTTAAAGTTCTGTTAAGAGGGATTCAATCCACAATATTTCAGCTGGCTGTATTTGCAAGGTTTCTATACTCTGCTTCAGTGCTAGATCTTGCAACAAGTGTTTGCTTCTTTGACCACCAAGATACAAGGTTAGGACCAAGATAGATACATGAGCCAGAGGTTGGTTTTCTGTCGTCAGTATCGGAACGCCAGTCAACATCTCAGAATGGTGTTAGAGAGAATGGTTGAGATGAAGGTTCAAGAAGTAGGCCATGATGAATAGATTGATTGAGATAGTGAAGAATTCTTTTTACTGCAGTCCAATGAGTTTCAAGAGGTTGAGAGAGAAATTGACAGGCTTTGTTGACAGCAAAACGAATTTCTGGTCTGGTTATAGTTGCATATTGAAGTGCACCAACAATAGAGTGACGAAAAAGACCAGCAAAATAATCAGCGCCATGTTTACTGAGTTTAGTGTTTGATACCATAGGTGTTGAAATTCATTTAGCATCAGACATTTTGGCTTTGAACAGTAGATCTCAAATATATTTTGTTTGAGAAAGAAATAGAAAACCATTTTGTAGGTGATGAACTTCTATTCCCAGAAAATAGTCTAGATCTCCAAGTTGTTTGAGACTGAACTGATCATTAAGTTTGGTTATAAGTTGCTGGATAAGATGAAGATGATCTCTTGTGATTATTTTGAAATCAACATATACAACTATAATAACTTGATGAGATGCAGTGATAAGAGTGAAAAGTGAGGGATCACATTTGTTGTTGCAAAAACCAAGATTACATAAAGCTGTTGTTAATCTTTCAAACTAGGTTCGTGGAGCCTGTTTGAGACCATATATTGCTTTGTGTAGTTTGCAAACCAAAGACTTATCATGTGCTTCAAAGCCTGGAGGCTGTTACATGTAAACTTTTTCTAAGATACCATTTAAGAAAGCATTATTAACATCTATTTGTCTAATGTGCCAACATTTTGTAATTGCAATTGATAGGATAGTGCGAACAGTTACTGGTTTTACCATTGGAGAAAATGTTTCCTGAAAATCAAAATCATACTGTTGATGAAAACCGTTTGTCACTAAGTGAGCCTTGTACCTTTGAACAGAACCATCAACATTTTCCTTTATTCAAAGAACTCATTTACAACCTATGGGTTTTCTGTGAGATGGAAGAGGAACAAGACACCCTTTAGAGCTCTAGGATCAAGTGTTTCTCTGTCTTTACTGTGCACATGGACAAAAGAGACATACCCAAAAGTCTTTGAAGAAAACTTACTAGAAGTTAATAGAAGACAAATCAGGTGAAGAGAAACAATCAATTGTTTTCTTGGATGAAAATTTGTCGCTGTTCACACAGAATAAGTAAACAACAAAAGGAAAGTTGTGCCCAACAAGAAAAAATAGAGGAAACCAAACTCTAAATCAGGTTCAAAACGTGAGCTCTTTGATGAGCTGCTTCAACCAAATGAGTTCACATGTTGCAAAAGCCGCCATGCATTGTTCACCAGAAATTGTCCTGCTCTACCTCCTGGTGCTTTAGAGTATGTGGCGTTACTTTTTTGGCAGCAACTTAGACAGCCATGGTTGCTAGTTCTTTTCTAGCTTAATCCACCCCATCATGCTTTGGTTGTATTACTTCCATGAGCTGTTTGTCCATGTACCTATTGTAGCTTACCACTGCAACTATTTGGCCTGGATTATTTGTATGAAGCTGATAGCTTAGTAATATTCAACTCGAGCAGAATTAAGATATTTGCAATTGGGAAACTGCATTTAATGTTGAATAGCTAGTGATTAGGCTACACGTTAACTTATAATTAGCTACTCGATTACTCCTTTGGTTTATTCCAAGCCAGCTATTAACATGAATACAAATGTGTAGCACATGCACACAATTTCATTAATAATCTTTAAACAGAAATATTTTATTTTCTGAATGAATATTTTCCAAAGTTGTTTTTATTGCTGTGTGATTTTAGTTGGTTTTTTGAGCATCCATATGCCAGTACATCACATTTCTCTGAAGTTTTGGAGTGTTTGATTGCAAAAAGTGAGCATGATTGCTACTACAGTTACCGGCTCTCTTGGAAGAAGAAAATTGTTTTGCTCTTGGGAAACTGCATTTAATGTTTATTAGTTAGTGATTAGGCCACAAATTAACTTATAATTAGCCACACGCTTACCCATTTGATTTATTGCAAGCAAGCAATTAACATGAATACACAAATGTGCTACACATTCACACAATTTCAGTAATACTCTTTAAACAGAAATATTTTAAGTTTTGAATGATTATTTTCTGAGGTCTTCTTTATTGCTGTGTGATTTAAGTTGGTTTTTTGATCATCCATATTCCTGTACGTCATATTTTTCTGAAGTTTTGGAGTCTCTGATTGCAGAAAGTGAGTGTGATTGCCACTACAGTTACCAACTCTCTTGGAAGAAGAAAATTGTTTGCCCAGATAAATAGCTTTATTGCTGTTTTTATTCTTGTTGGACAACTGTTCTTGACGGTAAGCTCTTCTCATAATGATTGTTTTTCTACATGGTATATTCATCTTTCAGTAAGAGTTGAGATCAGACCTGTTTCTAATAATAATATTCTAAAAGGCCAAGAGACTCAAGATTTGCTTTTCTGAAATTGCACTCAGCGTGCTGCTATAGATATATATGAAAGAATAATTACGACTTGTATTTACAAAAACAGTTAACTATTGGAGAATCATTTCCTATTAGTTCCTTCGTTACATTAATTTACTGCTAAAGAAGCAATTTTCAGTGGGTAATGCGTTAGGATATAGAATAAAGAGAATACGAGCAGTTATTAATTAGAAGGATATCATTGGCCAGACCCATCATATATCTAGGTAGAGGGGAGGTATTCAGATTAGCAAGTCTTTGTGGGAATAAAGTTGTGACTTTGATGAAAAAGGAGAAACCTTTGGAGGAGTTATTTTTCTTCTATTTTGTGTTCTTTTCACCATATTCAATAAATCTGTCTTTTATTTCAAATTCCTAGTTCTTGGTTCCTAACAATTGGTCCAAATGTGCTGGGTCTTCAAGGGAGAGCCAGTGTCAAAGGCGGAGGAAGTGCATAATTGGGCCAAAAGGGGGAGCTGCCAGTGTATATAGGGACAGACCCAATTGGGTGGATTGTTAGAGCTGAAAATTCTTTGATGTACAAGAAATTATTTCATTCAATAAGTTGCAATATGCATTCGTGTGCATGGAATGTTTGGCGATACTTTAGTTATATTTTTGGAGCCAAAAAGAACCCAGACTCAAATTGAGAGTCATTTTCCACAGCTTTGATAAGAAGATTCAAAGATAGCTATGGTAGCAATGTTATTGAAAAATTGACTACGTTGAAGCTAGAAAAGCAAACTGAGACAAGAACCTGCAGGCTGCATCCATGAGGTGGAGACATCAGTCAAGAAACCAGGGATACCCATTGCAAAGGACAACATTAGCGACCAAATTCTTGGTGAAATGACAGAAAGTGACGAACTTTGATGACAATATGCCAGGTGGTGACAACGCATGTTCTTGGGCAAGAAAGATGAGTGACAGGATTAGCCCATTAGAGTTTGGAAATGATTTCGAGATTACGTTCATATGTAGGGAAAATATAGGGAAAATAGGCAAATTTTAGTGATTAGGGATTAAGAGTTTAAGGGATAAGTGATTAAGGAAATTACCAGTTCTTAACAAGTAGGATTGAAAATAATCTAATATAATTGTTCAAGTATGAGGATATAAAAATTTTCATATATTATAGATGGACCTTTAATTACATGGACTAGATTACAAAAATATAAAAATTCCCATTACTAGATTATGAGCAAATGATGTATTAAACAAAAATTAAATACCTCATTTTATTAATAAAACTGAGCAAGATAGAAATGTAAATCACAAAAAAGTATTGGCCTGTAGGACTTACACTTACACCAACAATTTTAGTGTTCAATATTATATTTTATTACTTTTATAGATTGATGTTCTATCATGTTGCTACATTGATTGAAGTAACCATTTTTAAAAGCTAGTATTATACACAAAAGTAATGAAAAATATTTGTCATAGTTACTAATGATGCATGTTACTAAGGTTAATTTTGTATCTATTTTTATTTACTATTACAGGGACGCATTCTTACCGTTGCTGGGGTGACTACAGCTATATGCTCAGCACCTTTTGTTGGCCTCTTAAATTTAGCCGCTCTAGCTGTTTGGCCAAATTGGGTGGTGGTTTCCATTTGTGAGACGCTGAGAAAGGTTATTCTTCATGACTTAACAAATATGGTTATTCTTTCATAGAATTCAATAATTAATAACTTATCGACAAGATCACGTTACAAATGTATTTGTTAGGAATTGTTGTAATTAGAGAAAAATCTTCCTAATTAGAGGAAAATATTTGTAGAATCTTCTATTTATTTTCAGCATATTTTTTCCTTTATTTCCTTATTTTTAGAAGATTAGATTGTTACAAATAGGTGTAATGAGAATTCAATATGTATGAATGATAATAATAAAAATCATTCTCCTTTTCAAGTTGGTATCAAAGTTCCCGATCTTGGGAACTCCGTTTCCACTACAACAGTAGCCACCGTCGCCGCTGTCCGGCCACCGCGGTTGTCACCGTAGCATTGGGGTCATTGATAGGGCAGAAAGGTGCGCCCAACTCCGGCGAACACAACGCCAGAAATAGGCATAGCAATCTAACCTGCCCCGTGGGTACTCGCCCGAACCCGTGTTTATCAAGTACGTGTTTGGGTTTGGGTTTTCCCCGATTGATAAAATCGGGGGCGGGGGCGGGGGCAGGGATGTTAATACCCACCCCGCCCCCATACCTGCCCTCGCTCCCGCCCTGCTTAATAATATAATTAAAAAATTATTTTTATATATATATAAACCAAAATTAGAAATATTTATATGTAAAAATTTATATTATTTTACTTTTCTTTTATTTTTTTTAAAATTGTTCATATTTATTTAAAAGAAAAAAAGAAAAAAAAAGGAGCGGGGGCGGGGCGGGGAAACTCGAACCCCGCCGGGGGCGGGGATGGGGACCCAGATTTTATTCCCGGCGAGTATCGGGGACGGGGGCGGGGAACGTAAAACTCGCCCCCGCCCCGCCCCGTTGCCATGCCTAGCCGGAAATCACTTCGAGAAAGACGCCTCCACGCGCCACCGTCGTCGCCGGTGCGTGTAGCCCACACGCCTAGCTCCGGTGAGACCCAATCGTTGTCGCTGTCACAGAACGAGTCGCCATAGCCTCTTGAGTCCGTTCAATGGGTTGGTGACGTCCCATTTTGCTCCTTTTTCAGTGTAGCCCACTTATCGTTGTTGCCATAGATAGAGTCATCGAATCAATCCATTACTTCACCATCATCAAATCTTGATATGAAAGCTTTTAAGGAAGAACTAAATTGTTTGAAAGCCATGATTGAATCAATAAGTAAGCCTTCTAGACCATGTACTCTGTCCATGGAAGGTAAGAGTTCTCTCCATACCTTGGTCCTATGACTCAAGGTATTTGGATTCTTGATTCAGGAGCAATTGATCATATGACACCTTTTGGTATGTTCTTCAAATCATATATTAAAAGGAATAGAGAACAACTTATTACAGTTGCGAATGGTCAAAGTGTACCCATATATGGCTCTGGAAATATAGTTTTGGAATCATCTATTGTATTAAAGGACGTTTTACATGTGCCACAACTAGCCAATAATCTTATCTCTGTGCGGAAGCTCACAAAAGATTTAAATTGTTCAGTAACATTTTTCTCGACTCATTGTGTTTTTCAGGACCTTACTACGGGGAAGACGATTTTAACTACTAAGGAGCAGAGTGGGTTGTATCTGTTTGAGTCTGATGACCAAAACAAAACAAAGATTATAAGTCAACAAGCTACATCTGAGACGTGGGCAAATTCCCAAATATGGTTACATCATAAAAGGCTAGGGCATCTTTCATTCAATCTTATGAAATCCTTGTTTTCTCATTTGTTTACTAGGGAGTCTGTTGAGTCTTTTAATTGTGATATTTGTCAATTATCAAAACATCATCGTGCTTCTTATCCTATTAGTAATAGAAAGAGTACTTCTCCATTTGATTTAATTCACTCTGATATTTGGAGACCTGTCGTAGAATCTATTTCTGGAGCCAAATGGTTCTTTACCTTTATTGACGATTGTACCTGTGTCACATGGACATACCTTATGAAAAATAAATCAGACGTTTTTTCAAATCTTTGTTAATTTTTTTCGTCTGGTCCGAAATCAATTTGGAAAAAATATCAAAAGAATCAGGTTTGATAATGGTACTGAATATGTGAATCATAAATTTCTTAATTTTTTGTCTCATAATAGTATTGTTCATGAACTAACATATGTAAACACCCCTCAAAAAAATGGGGTTGCAAAAAGAAAGAATCGTCATCTTCTTGAAGTAACTAGAGCTCTTCTATTTTAAATGTCTGTTCCAAAAAATTATTGGGGAGAAGCTGTGTTAACTGGCACGTATCTCATCAATAGGTTACCCACTCGTATCTTAAATGACATTAGTCCTATAGAATCTTTATTGTCTTTTGTTCCCTCTTTTCCCCTAGTATCGAGTCTACCTAGTTGAGTCTTTGTATGTATTGTTTTTGTTCACTCTCATCATCCTAATCGTAGTAAATTAGATCCCAAAGCTCTTAAATGTGTCTTTATTGGGTATCCTTCTAATAAAAAAGGGTACAAATGTTATCATCCTCAGAGTCGTCGTGTCTATATCACCATGGATGTCACCTTTCATGAAACACAATCCTTTTATGCTAGTCCACCACTTCAGGGGGAGAAAGCACTTGAAGTGGAGGAGCTCTCCTTCTTGTCATTACCATATTTATTTTTGCAGGATGCCCAAGACCTGAGCAATGAAGCTACCATGGTCCACAGTGAGGAACAAGAGGAAGAAGATAAATTTTTTGGCAAAAAATATGAAAGAAGTAAACAACCCACTTCGACTCTAGACCAAAAAAAATTGTCTTATCTGGAGATGAGGATCCCTGAAGATAACAGTGAAGAGGTAAGTATTACTGAGGACTTACCCATTGCATTAAGAAAGGAAAGAAGGTCATGTGCTAAATATCCTATTTCTCGATAGTTTGTCCTAACAATCTATCTGATAAGCACCGATGCTTTATTGTTGCCTTTGATGCCACAAAAATTCCTAACTCAATCCAGGAGGCCATGAAAATTAAACATTGGACTCAAGCTATGAAAGAAGAGATGAATGCATTAGAAGGAAGTTCAACCTAGGAGATTGTTGATAAGTCAAGAGACAAGAAGGCAGTAGGGTGTAGATGGATATTCACAGTGAAACATAAGGCAGTTGGGACAATTGAAAGATATAAAGCTAGATTGGTGGCAAAGGGCTACCCCCAAACATATGGAATTGACTATGAGGAGACATTTGCCCTACAGTTTGAGTTATTCTTGTTTTGGCTGCTCACTTTGGTTGGGTCTTGCACCAATTGGATGTGAAGAATACCTTTCTTCATGGAGATTTGGAAGAGGAAGTGTACATGGAGATTCTCCTAGGTTTTGAAGTGCAAAATGAAAGAAACAAGGTATGCCTCCTAAAGAAAGCATTATATGGTCTGAAGCAATCCCCTAGAGCATGGTTTGGAAGATTTACAAAAGCAATGATTTCCTTGGAATACAAACAAAGCCAAGGAGATCATACTCTATTCATAAAGCACTCTACTACAAGTAAACTCACTCTACTACTTGTTTAAGTGGATGATATGATTATTGCAGGAGATGATGAAACAAAAAAAATGGCATTAAAAGAAAAATTGGCAGCCCAATTTGAAATGAAAGACCTAGGAAGACTTAAGTACTTTCTTGGAATAGAGGTTTGCTTATTCCAAGAACAAAATTTTCATCTCCCAAAGAAAATATGTACTTGATCTTCTCAAAGAAACAGGAAAGTTGGGATGTAGAACTTCAACAGTTCCTATAGAACAGAATCATAGAATTGGAAGTGAAGAAAGTACTCTTGTAGATAAGGCCCAATATCAGAGATTGGTAGGAAAATTGATTTATCTATCACATACAAGACCAGACATAGCTTATGCAGTTAGTTTAGTGAGTCAGTTTATGCATGACTCAAGAGAGAGACACATGCAAGCAGTTGACAAAATTCTCAAGTACTTGAAGTCAAGTCCAGGAAAGGGGCTATTGTTCAAAAAGGAAGACATGATGACTATGAAAATATATACTGATGCTGACTATGCAAGTTCTATCATTGATAGAAAATCTACTTCCGGGTATTGTACGTTTCTTGGAGATAATCTGGTAACGTGGAGGAGCAAAAAGCAAGATAGAATATCTCGTTCTAGTGCAAAAGCTGAATTTTGAGCCCTTGCTCAAGGAATGTGTGAAGGACTCTGGATGAAAATCATTTTGGATGACCTTAAAGTCAAAGTGGACAACCCTGTGCAACTGTACTGTGACAATAAGTCTGCCATGAGCATTGCCCATAATCTAGTACAACATGATAGGACCAAACACATTGAGATTGACAGACACTTCTAGACAGAGGCTTTGTGATCACAACTCATGTTCTTACAGAACTTCAGATAGCAGATATTTTTACAAAAGAGCTCCCTCAGGGTAGATTTCAAGATCTTGTAGGCAAGTTGGGAATGATTGATATCCATTTACCAACTTGAAGGGGAGTGTTGTAATTAGAGAAAAATCTTCCTAATTAGAGGAAAATATTTGTAGAATCTTCTATTTATTTTCAGCATATTTTTTCCTTTATTTCCTTATTTTTAGAAGATTAGATTGTTACAAATAGGTGTAATGAGAATTCAATATGTATGAATGATAATAATAAAAATCATTCTCCTTTTCAAGTGGAACCAAAACATAAAATAGTATAATAGCATGTGAATCGAAAGACTAATGAAGCCAGGTAGTCAAAATTGAGATTCTTGCTCCACTTAGAATAAGGTCACGGAATCTTAAATCGCGAACACATAACATGAAATGTAAGATTCTGCTAAAATTATAAATCCAAATATATGCATTTAAATTCTTATATATGCATCTAACATTGTATAAATAAGAGGGGAAAGGGCCATCATAACAAATGAAATACTTAATTTAAGCTTAAATTCATAATAACAGATTTATAAGCATAAAAAAAAGTCAATATCTGAATTCCATACAGAATTCAAATAACCAACAACACATCTTAAAAAGTTAAAATACTGCACTGCAGTAATAAAACAGCTTAAACCACCTAGAGTTGAAAGAGAGAATATTATTAATTTGTATAATACAAATTACATTCTTCTCTTATCATTTTATAGGGATACATTTGTTCCTAAACCAGGTAATTATGAAAATAAACAAATATAAAAGAAATAAGAAAAGATTATATCAAATCTCTTAAAAAATATCAAATCTTCTAAGATATTTATTTACAACACCTAGTTTACTCCTCTAATAGACAAACTCCGGCTTAAATAGCCCATTTAAATTAAAATCATAATCACTTAAGATATTCTTATTTCTTCTCTCATCTTCTCCATGTCATTCATTAACCATATTAGCAAGATGAGTCTCGTCTAGAAATGACAAATAAACTCATATTTATAAATAATGTTTGAACCCATCTTGATTTTAATGGAAAATATCCAATTTGATTTGATGTGGATACAGGTAATATTTGATTTATTAAATTAGGGACGGGATTGGGTATATAATTACCTGCTCCGTATCCATACTCGTCCCCCTCTTTAGATTTTTAAAATACTTAGACCTTACATTTTAAGGGTTACGAATCATTACAACAAAGTAGTAAACATTCTCTCCTTCTCACAATCTTAGCGGCGCCTCGTCCCAACATATGTGAATTTTGACACGCTGCAATGGTGTAGAACATTGTCATCGCACTGCTGCAACTTGGTTGCTGGTTTGTCTCTCTAATCTATCTTTCTAATGGTTTTTCGCCTTCAGCTAAGGGGTGTGACTGTGGTGTGGGTTGTGTCTGCGTGGCCGCTTGGTTGGTTGCAGCTCGTGTGGTGGTGACCTGATGGAGTCAGTGTGGGGATGAGGGCCAAAGTGATGGTTGGATCTTGACAACTGGGGGTTGGCCTTGCTGGCTAGGGGTTGATCGCAGTTTAGCACACTATTTTTTTTCTACCCCTTATCTGTCTGTATGGGATATAGAATGGGTGGTGGGGCTAGTGGCTAGGGTTGGTCGCAACGGTGGGTTTAACACACTTTGTTTTTCTACCCCTTATCTATCTTATGAGGTATACAACAACGGGTAATGGCTGGGATTGGTGGCAATGGTGGAGGACTGGTCGTGGCAACGGGTTTAGCACTCTTTGTTGCAAAAAAGAAAATATTTAATTAACTGTTGGTAGATGCAGGTTGAGGACAGGTATACTTGATACCTAACAAGGATGGTGATGAGACATAAATTTCATATCTGTCGAGTATTAGGGACGAAAGACATGTATAGGGTACGAAAGCAAATGTGGATATGGGCGAGGATATTAAGATGTGAATAGGGTACGAAAGCAAATGTGGACAACGGCAAGGATATTAAAGCCCACACTCGCCTCACCTCTTTGCCATCTCTAGTTTCATCTAGAGGTGGCACACCAAGAACATCATCCTTATCCTCATTCTCTTCCACTTCATCACCATTTTCCCTAATCCACTCATCGGATGAAAGCTCATCAAACAAATCTTCATATAGCTCAATCTCAGGTGATGTTCTTTAGCTTGCTTTTTCTTCGGCAACTTGGCCAATTTTATATTAGCCAAGTCGAAAACATTATTTATTCTTTTGCTTCAATCAGTTTCTTCTCCTTGTGTAGATCTAAAGAAACATGCAAATAGGAGAATTGGTAAGCATCAAGAAATTTATTAATACTCAACTACTACTAATACA